GCCCCCCCAGATTAATTCAAAGCTAATCCCCTCCCCATCATCTTATTTTATCTGTAAACATTTCAGTATGTCTCTCCAAATGGTATGGTCTCTTTACATCAATTACAATGGACATGCCATTATCACACTTAAATAAATGAACAATTCTTTAATATCATCAAATAGGAGGCTAGTATTCAAATTTCCTGATTTGCTCATGAAATTGCATTGATTAAATGATCTGGTCTAGAGTCACACCTTTCTTGACTCAGTTACTAAATCTCTTTAAATGTCCCTGTCCCACCTTCCCTACTTTTTGAAGAAATCAGTCCTATGAATTTCCCCACAATCTAAATATTTTATCTGGCATTTCAGGAATGCACTAGATTTCCTTTCATCTTTCCCCCCCCCACATAAGTGCATGTTGAAGATTTGAAAACATAAGAAGCACTTTGGGAGTTTTAGAAAGATGTTGCTTTGTTTAGAGGGTACCTTAAGTATTAGATGGAGCCCTGGAGGTGTGGTTGTTAGACATTGGGCTGCGATCCACATGGTTGGCAGTTCAAAGCCACCAGCATCTCTGAGCAAGAAAGACTGGGCTTCCTACTCCCCGAAAACAGTTCCAATCTTGGACACCCACAGGTGTCAGTGGCAGTGAGGGAAGGGTTTTCATGAATAACAACAAATGCGGAAGAAGACTTGTTGGAAAGGCAAACCGTTAACTGAAAACTCATATTCCAACTTTTATTATCTTCCAAAGCTTGGGCTGATTGTGAATCTTAGTGTGTAGAAGCATTGGGATTTATTTTCTTTGGGGATTCATTACAGATGCATAGAGAAAGGTAAACTTCTTGGGATCTTGGTAAGTAGGTGTGGAAATTAAGGACGCTGTGTATAATTTAGTGATGATGACTATGTGTTTAGTTTGAATAGAATTATACTGTAGCCATTTCCTTGTATTATTAAATTCATGCCTAAAAAGTGCATCCGGGTAGAGTGTGTGTGTCTAAACATCTCCATGTTCTCAGCTCCAGAATAGTAATCTTCTGGCCCGGCGCCGAGGAATCCCCGAGTGCATCCTGCTGGTCACTCAGCGAATCACGAAGTACCCTGTCTTGGTGGAGAGGATACTGCAGTACACAAAGGGTGAGTGATCGTTTCTGTAGCAAATGTTTGCCTCTTTTGTTGTTTTGAGAAACAGCCACCAGGGTAGCCAGGCGCCATGGAGTGTGACTCAGGGTGCCCCGGGGTGGGCCAGCATAGAACTGCGCTCCATACAGTTCATAATGGTGATTTTCTCTTACGCCAGGCTTTTCTTCGGAGGCTCTTCGGGGTGGACTCGAACCTCTGACCTTCCAGTTAACTGCTGAGCAAGTTAACCAGCCCTCGCGCCCAAAATAGCTTTCAACATGTGCGGTATCTGATTCACCAAGTTTCTCATTGAGGTGGAACTGTCCAAGTATTAGGACTTAGATTAATTTTGAGAGCCTATTTTGTATAATGTGACTTAGCAAATGGCTTGGCTACTCCCAAGTAGCCCAACCCAAAGGACCTTCTTCACGCTTTGATCCATATTTCCCAGTACCCTGACCGTCTCAACACTGCCCCCTCCTGGTCCTCCTAGGTCCTTCACAGCATTCTGCGGAACCACGCACTGTTGCCCCTCCCACCCAATGCCAAACGCAGAATGCTTCGATGCACAAACAAACAAACAAACATATGAAGGAGCTATTTTCGATCCCGTTAAGTCTGTTCCGTTTCAGGAAGTGATCGTTGGCTCCTTTAAGACGGTCCTAATGCATGTGGTAGGGGAGCCCTGGTGCAAGGTCAAAACCACCATTTGCTCTGACAGAGAAAGAGGAGGCTTACCACTCCCGGACAGAGCCATAGTCTCGGAAACCCACAGGGGCAGCTCTCCTCTGTCCAGTGGGGTCATTCGGAGTCGGAATTGACTTCATAGCAGTAAGTTCGGTTTTCAGTGTTTGCAACACATGGGGCTGCAAGCTCAGTGAGGGGGATGGGAGGTGTGCGTCTGATTGGTTAACAGATGCCTCTCGAAGGCCCAGAGCAGTGGCTGGTTCAGAACTGACTCTAGCTAATTGAATACATGTTAGTGCAGTGAATAAATAAACAACACTGCCCCTGCCCTACCTCCAGCCTAGCTTGTTGATCTTGAGTAAAAAGTTACCAGCAAGTGGTGGTGTGTATTGTTGGCAAAGACTCGGAGGTCCGATGGAACAGACCTGGGCTGCCATCGTGTGTACTTGACTCTGCCACTCCTTAGTTGGGCAAGTGAATGAGATGAGCCTCATTTTCTCAATCACAAAACGTTATTCTTGTTTTATGGAATGATGAGGATGGAATGAGATTGTCCTGCCAAGAGCCCAGACAAGTGCCTGGTATAAATGAGGCGCTCAGTACACGGGGGCTGTTTTTATTACCATCATTCTCGTCAGTTGACTTGGAGATAGTGGGGAAAAAAAGCTAAAGTGCTTATTTTAAATAAAAACCAATCAAATCCCCCAAAACCAAATCATCTCAAATTTCCTTAAATCTCTCTCCCTTTTTTTTAATGTTTGCATTTAGGTAAGTGAAAATGCTTACTTCTGGGGAGCTGTTTGTTGGTGGTGCTGTTGGGTAAGCACCAGACTGCTAATGGCACGGCCAGTAGTTCCAACCCACCAGCCCCTCCTGGGAAGAAAGATGAAGCCACCCACCCCGCTAAAGATTCCCAGCCTCGGAACCCCCGTGGAAGGCTGAAATGGATTCAGTGGAGTGGGCTTGGGATCATTTTTGCCACACTTAGAACTACAATTTAATGTAGTTCATCCCATAATGTAAAAGAAAATATAAAGAATGTAAAGAGAAACCCGTATAAACTTGTATTATGTTAATCTTAACTTCCGTAAGTTAAACATGCAGCACCTCAAAGACTAAAAATTGGCTTCTTGCCTCAGGCCAGCTCGTGCTGTCCCAAGAAGCAGCCCACGCCGATTACTCCTGGCACAATGAAAGCAGCATTTTGATTTTGATTGCTTCCTCGGTGTCAGAAACTCGTAAGTTTGACTTATGACTCTTCAAGGCCAAAAATCCACTGCTATTGAGTCGAATCAGACGTACAGCAATCCAGTAGCATTCCTGAGCTGTACATTTTCACCGAAGCAGACAGCCTCATCTTTCTCTCGAGGAGCACCTAGTGGGTTTGAACCACCAACCTTGCAGTCAGCAGTCCAGAACCTAAAGCACAGTGCCCTGAGGGCTCCCCCAGGTCCAGTCCATAGAGTGGCAGAGGAGACACTGCCTCCTTTCATCAGACCTAACAAATTGTCCCTGTCCTTCCAGGACTGTGGGAACATCTTTCATTGTGACTGTGTGATGGCTGGGTTTCTCCAAGTTCTGAGGCATGCCGTCTCGTCTGGAGAGCTTGTCTGAGTTTGGGTTCCGTCAGGTTTGGTGGGGGACATAAAGTGTGCAAATCTAAGAGTGGGTGCTACGGCACTTTCAATAGTGTAGCTCACTCACTCACTGCCGTTAGGTAGATGACGACTCGTAGCAACCCTATCAGACAGGGTAGAACCGCCCCTGTGGGTTTCCAAGATTGTAACGCTTTTAAGGGAGTAGAGAGCTGCTCCTTTCTCCCATTAAACAGTGTAGTGAGGTACAAACCCAAAGCCGCCGTCATCGGATTTCAACTCATAGTGAGCCTAGAGGACTGTCAAATCTTTATGGGAACAGAGAGCCTCAGCTATCTCCTGCAGAGTGGCTGGTGGATTTGAACCACTGATCTTGAAGTTAGCAGTCGAACAAGTAACCATTGCACCATCAGGGTTCGGTACTTAGTGACGTGTAAGGCAGTCCTTTGTCTGAGTAGCCAGAAGACTTTGAGACTCTTTTTGGCCTCACCCCAAATCATGTTGTAGCTTCGTTTCAATTTTCTCTACACATCTTTCCTATTTCTACAAGAAGACACTTCATGAAGAAGAATCAGCTGGGGGCTGGCACGTAGCGTCATGAAGTGGAAGGTGTGTTTTTTGTGAAAGAAAGTATCTTCCTGATTAGAGATGTGCATCAGAGTCCTGCCCAGGATGCTTTCTGACTCACCCTACATTTATGCATTTAAGACACTGGGCCCGGGAAGATGTACACCTCTGCACCTCTGGAGGACGCCCTCTCCTCCAAGTGTTTGTTCCTGCTGCTCCAGGCTCCAGGGGGCTGAAGCACACTTGATCATGCTAATCTCTGATAAATACAGATAGATCCTTAATGGTTCTTTTTGGGGAGTGGGTATGGAGTGATAGTATAGAATTTACATTTAATCCCAAATTTTTCTTAGGAGATTTTTGGATGATAGGCTTATTTATATATTTAAAAACGTAAGAACCGCCCCCCCCCCTTTAGCATTTGTCTTCATTTTCTAGTGTTCTTTCTGACGCTTCACTGTCCCCTGGCATTTTCTTATTTGTAGTCACCTTCTTTCTTTGTGTCTTCTGTTCGCCAATGTAGAAAGAACGGATGAACATCGAGACTTATGCAGAGCACTTTGCTTAATTAAAGACATAATTGCGGCGGTGGATTTAAAAGTCAGTGAATATGAGAAAAACCAAAAGTGGCTTGACATCCTAAATAAGATAGAAAATAAAACCTGCACAAAGCTGAAGAATGGCCACGTTTTCAGGAAACAGGCGCTGATCAGTAAAGAGAGGACCCTGCTATACGATGGCCTCGTGTACTGGAAGACGGCAACGGGCCGTTTCAAAGGTAGGCCGACTTTGACGAGCGCGTTTCTCTCATCACACACACTGTTCATTGCACAGAGCGTGGTATCTCCGAAGAAGAGTGATGCAGAAGTGCAGGGTCACACACGCCCTGGGCTAGCTGAGAGATTCCTGCAGGACTGAGTGGTGGTCTTCAGTAGGCAGCTGTGGCCAGGGCTAAAAACCTTTGGAGGGAGTTTGTTTCCTCCAGGAAATATGTATATATGCGTATGTGTGTGTGTGGTATATGATATATGATATGAGTGTGTACAAATTTATCCACTTGTGCTATTTGCAACGAGGAGACTGTACTGCCGTTCTGCTCATGGCGTGCTCACACACATGCTGGCAAACATGCTGACTTGAAAATAAGGCAGCCGAGCCGCGGACTTCGAGGCTGCTGGATGCCACATGAGCCCAGGGTTCTGAGACCATTAGGGGGTGGAGAAAGGAGCTCAGATGGCCATCTCGTTATGACTAACGTGGTGCATGGACGTGCCCTCTGACACTGTCATGCACTCTTCCTGACAGCTATCACTGCCTAACAGACTTGACTGTACCCTGGTAAGTGGATTACAGTTAAGCCCAAATGCCATCGCAGCCCACTACACCTCAGAGCAACCCCATCTGTGGCAGAATAGAACGGTGTTGCCTAAGGTTTTCGGCGGCTGATATGTTTGGATGTAGCTACCAAGCATTTGTTCTAAGGCTTCTTTGGGTGGACTTAACGCTCTAGCCTTTCAGTTAGTGGCTGAGCAAGCTAACCATATCCACTACCCAGAGACATCACAGTCTGAAACAGTCTGGTTGAGTTCTTTAAAAAAAATCATTTTATTGGGGGCTCTTATAGCTCTTATCACAATCCATACATATATCCGTTTTGTCAAGCACATTTGTACATATGCTACCATCATCACTTTCAAAACATTTTCTTTCTACTTGAGTCTTTGGTATCAGCTCCTCCCCTCTCCTTCCCCTCCTCCCTCCCTCATGAACCCTTGATAATTTATAAATTTTTACTTTTTTTCATGGCTTACATTGACTGCTCTCTCCCTTCACCCCCTTTTTTGCTATCTGTCCCTGAGGGAGGGGTTTATATGTAGATCATGGTGATTGCTTCCCCCTCTCCCCCCACCTTCCTTTTATCCTCCTGGTAATGCTACTCTCATTATTGGTCCTGAGAGGTTTATCTGTCCTGAATTTCCGTGTTGCGAGCTCTTACCTGTACCAGTGCACATGTTCTGGTCTAGTTGGATTTGTAAGGTAGAATTGGGGTCATGATAGTGGGGGGGGGGGAGGAAGCGTGGGGGGGGGAGGAAGCATTAAAGAAGTAGAGGAATGTTGTATGTTTTAATGGTGCTATACTGCACTCTGACTGGCTTGTCTCTTCCTTGTGACCCTTCTGTGAGGGGATGCCCAATTGTCTACAAATGGGCCCTGAGTCTCCACTCTGCCCGCCCCCTCATTCACATTGATACGATTTTTTTGTTCTGGGTCTTTGATGCCTGATACCTGATCCCATTGACACCTCATTTTAGTTGAATTTAGAACCACTGTGGAACGTAAAAAAAAAAATCAATGCTCAAGACTTGTCCTAAGATCTTAATTCCATTGGTATGAGATAAAGGATAAACTTGGGTGTTTATAGCAGTTCCAGGTAAGTGTGTGTAGCTACGGTTAAGAACCACTTGTCCAGTCTCCTTGTTTTTAATACTTCATTTTAGTAACTTTCTCAGGCAAGCAATGTGAGGAAGAGATTGTTACATTCTAGCTTCTCAAAGATTATTATATACGAGAGAATAATCACATTCCGATGGAGGTTGCAGTGATTGAGATGGGGCTAGTTGAATAAGAACTGACCTGTGAGAGCCACACTCAAATGGAACAGACTTGTTTTTCCAGGTCTTGCAAGTTCTCCACCTTTGATAGGTTTCAGTCTTACCATATTTGGTTTCTACGTTTTAGTGGGGAATATTTGCGTTTTCCTGCTCTGACAGGTCTTTGACTTTCATGGATTCTAGCAGGTTTTGCAGGTTTCACTGTGTAAAATAAAAAAGGCATACCCACTATCTGTAAATCTGTTTGCTCTGTGCTCTTTATCTTGTTCTGTGCTCGTTATTCATTTAGTCAAATCCATAGTTTGGTAGCTTTGTGTTTTGGTGTTTGGTAGTTAAAGGAAAGATAGGCTCTTGTGAACAATCTGAAAATGAAGAGTAGCTCACACCTCCCTAAGAGTTAGCTGATAAAGAATATCAGGTTTATGCATATAATTAAGTCGCAAGCTATCCTCTAACATTTGTAAGCGCTCTTTGCCCTTTTATCGATGCGGCTGTTAGTTGCCTACAAGTTGATTCCAGCTGATAGTGACTGATACCACCTGTGCTGAATAGAACGGCTACACGAGCACTTCCAGGCTGTGACTTTGGGAAGGAGGTCACTAGCCTTATCCTTAGGGAACCTCAGTGTTTTGGCCAGCAGTGCAGTGCTTTTATACAACTAGGGCTCCATGCCCACTCTATTAGAACCATTTATACAACTAGGGCTCCTTGCTCACTCTATTAGAACCTCGTTTTTATTTGAATGTTTTCCTGCCATTTTTAAAGCTAAAACGATGCTTTTTTTCCCTGGAGATTGCATACACACAAACACGCACAATTGACTTGAACAGTTTTCCTCTAAGATATCTATAGAGCATATCTTTGGACATTTTGCAAAAAAATTTATAATGAGTCTGAATTACGGGCTTCTTATATGTATTAAATTGCTTTAAATTTCAAACATGAAATCAACATATTTAATAAAGGGATCTGAATTATGGTTAATTGTATTAATTAATCCTACTACTCTTTTTTTCTCCTTTGAAGATATTCTAGCTCTACTTCTAAGTGATGTGCTGCTCTTTTTACAAGAAAAAGACCAGAAGTACATTTTTGCAGCTGTTGTAAGTATATGGCCATAAGATACGTCTTTTATTTACTTTAAACCTGCATTAACTTGAAAAATGCCTGAAGGTCCTAGTGAATGAAAATAGTTGCTGACGATATGCCCTTGTTATGTTGCCATTATTATCAGGGATTGCACTGTTCAGAAACAAGCATCTCATTGGTTTGAACCAGCATGAAAAGTGTAGTGATTTATCACAGTCGGGGTAGATAGTCAGACGATTGAGCAATTTAACTGGTTGTGAAAATATCTGGGAAACTTCTGCAATGGTTGGTAAATTGGCACTGTCCTGAGCCCCCCAAATGTCCCCTTTGATATCCTGGGTAGCTTTGTCTTTCATCTAGGACCCCCACCCCCACCCCGCGCCCCGCGCGTGCACGCACACGTGCATCTGCCTCAAGATTTCTTTCAGTTTCAGCCACTGAAGAGTTAACTCTTGGGCACAGCAGGGCATGAGGCTTCGTGGTTTCTCCTCTGCTGTGGTAGGCAGGTGCTGCTGAGTCAGTTCTGACCCACTGCAGTCCTGTGTGCACCAGAACGAGACGCCCCGTGCCCGCCACCCTCACCGTTCTTATGTTGCAGCCCATTGTTGCAGCCACCATGTCAATCCAGCTCGTTGAGGGTCTTCCTCTTCATGGCTGCTCTTCCACGGTACCAAGCAGAATACTCTTCTACGTTACCTTCTCCAGGGCTGGCTCCTTCTGATCACGTGCCCACAGTCCATGAGACAAGGCATCCTTGCATCTGAGCAACGTTCTGGCTGTATTTCTTGCAAGAGAGACTTATTCATTCTTTGGGTGGTCCATGGTAGATTCCAGAACTCTTTGCCAACACTGTAGTTCAAATGCATCAATTTCTACTATAATTGTTACTAATTACGACGGTGTTCGTGTAACGTGTATCTTTATAGTGTGATGGATTGATCTCATTATCAGCACCTCATTAGACCTGGGTTAGTGGCATAACCAGTATTTTATAATTGCATGGCCCAAGGTGACTTATGTAAAGAGAAGGAGGATGGCGTCAATTAATTCCTTGTCAGCATCGTGGATCCCAGGCGGGTAGAGGAAAGCGTCCACAGACAAAAACCAGTGTGGGCAGGAGAATGGTAGCTCCATTCCAGCTGGTTTGGGCAAATTCAAAGTTTTATTAGGTTTCTGCTCATGTGCTCAGAGAGAGCAGTGAGCCCTCTCCCTAGAGAGGAGATCCTGCTGGGAGAAGCCTGGGACAGAGCCTCACCTCTCCATCCCTGCCTGTCAGGTCTCCCCGACAGTCCCCTTCATGCTTCCTGGCACATTGTCTCATCAGCACACCAGATGCTGAATTGTATAAAGCTCAAATCTGCCTTCACAGAGCAGCGGGGAAGGATAATAAGAGGCCGTTAGCCAGGCTCCCTGTCCCTTGTCCTTTCAATGGCCTATATTGCAGATATCGTGACAATCAGCTGAGTGGCCCAGAAGCCCCTCTCTGGTGTTACCTGGGATGCGCTGAAAGAGCAGAGTAAACAGAACTAGAAGGTGATGATGGTGAGGACCAGGCTGGAAGAGAAAGCAACCTCAGCTCACACCCGTGTAGGAACACGTGTCCCCCCGACCCAAATTATAGACACCCCAAAAAAGCAAATCCTGCTACCGGGGCAGGACCCCAGGGCAAATAACCTGCTAGCTGCACAGTCAATATGCCCGGCATGCTTTCTGGGACAACATAGGCTAGGGATTCCAATCAGGGTGTGCTGGTCAACATGGGACGAGCTGAATTGGGAGCCATTTCTGTTACCTCAGATGGTCGCTCATGACACCCATAGACCACCTTTGCCACGCAGCCCACAAGGGTCTGCAGTGAAGGCAGCAACACTTTAGTTTTTGTGCTTGTGTTTGGTTTAATGTATTGGATCATGGGTAGCAGTGCTTGTGTTTGGTTTAATGTATTGGATCATGGGTAGCAGTGCTTGTGTTTGGT